GCGATTAGATGATGACTGGCACTGGGCCCAACTTCAAACCACCGCCCGCTGAGCAGCGCCACAACCCGCTACCACTGGCTGCCTTTCTCTCAAGCGCTGAGCCCAGCGTTGGGGCCGATGATGTTAGGCCCCGGCCTCTCGTCCCACGTCCCGCTTAGCGGCGCCCCAGTCTGCAACCGCCGCTCGTCCTTCGCGTACGCGCTGATCCCCGCGTGGTAGTTGATCACGTGGGACTTTTGCATTGCACTGAGCAGCGCCAAAGCATGCTGCCATTGCGTTCTCTTGCCGCACGCATTAATCTACGCGGTGTAGCTGGCTACGTTGGCCTCCACGTTCGAACTCCACGTCTCGCTGACCCACTACCGCTGCCCGCCATTCTCACAGTCGCTGATCCCAAGACCGTAACTGAAAACGTCAGTCTCCCACGTGGCCTCCCAGATCCCACTGAGCAGCCCCAGCTCAACATCACCGAGGTCCACGGCCACTTCCCGACATTTTTCGCACGCGCTGTCCCCAGCAATGTAGCTCATGACGTCGGTTTCTCTTTCTGCCCCCCGCGCCCCGAAGCCTGCTACCACTGCCCTCCCGTCCCGCACGCGCAGATGCAAGCACTGCAGCTGGCCACGTCGGGCCCAACATTCGAAGTCCACATCCAGTTGACCAGCGCCACTGCCCATTGCCACTGCCCAGAGTCCTTTCACGCGCTGGTCCCGACGCTGTAGCTGAAGACGTGCGGCTCCCATCTGGCCTCTCACATCCCTCCGAGCAGCGCCTGGGCCTGCCGCGTCGGCCCTCCCTCGTCGAGGGCCAAGCACTGCGGACTTGGGCTCCGCATTCGAACACCACATCCCGCTGAGCATCGGCCCGCTGTCGCTGCGCGCCATTCTCGCACGCGCTGACCCCAGCACCGTAGCTGATGATGGTGGGCTCCACCTTGACTCCCAACATCTCGCTGCGCAGCGCCAGGGTAGGCTGCCACTGCCCCCGGCCGTCTTTTTCGCACGCGCTGCTCGGGGCGCTCTAGCAGATGGTCGCATCCAACTTCGCTCCCGGCATCTCGCTGAGTAGCGCCAGGGCCGACTGCCACTGCCGACGCCCGTCATTCTTGCACGCGCGGCTCGGGATGCTGTAATCCATGATGGTGGGCTCCAACTTCATTCCCAACATCTCCCTCGGCAGCGCCAGGGCCGGCTGCCGCTGCCCCTGCCCGCCCTGTTCGCACGCGCTGGTCGGGGCGTTGTAGCAGATGATGGTGGTCTTCAGCTTCACTCCCAACATCTCGCCTGGCAGCGCCAGGGCCGGCTGCCGCTGCCCCCGCCAGTCCTTCTCGCACGCGTTGCTCGGGGTGCTGTGGCGTTTGGTGGTGGGCTCCAGCTTCCCTCCCATGACCTCGCTGAGCAGCGCCAGAGTCAGCTGCCACTGCCCCTGCCCATCCTTCTCGCACGCGCCGATCGGGGTGTTGTAGCAGATGACGGTGGGCCCCAGTTTCGCTCCCAACATCTCCACCGCACAGCGCCAGGACTGCCCCTTCCCGTCTTCCTCGCACGCGCTGCTCGGGATGATGTAGCAGCTGACGGCGGCCACCCGCGCCCCGTTGAGCAACTTCGGGGCTGGCTGCCACTGCCCGCCCGCCCAAATTGGCGTCATTGCCGTCCGTTGTGGTCGTACCGCCAGTGCCGTCCCTCCCCGTTCCTCCTCCTCCTCTTCCTCCTCCTCCTGCTCCTCCTCCTCCTCCTCCTCCTCCTCCTCCTCCTCCTCCTCCTCCTCCTCCTCCTCCTCCTCCTCCTCCTCCTCCTCCTCCTCCTCCTCCAAGCCTCGTCGTGCCGCCACTGCCGCCGCCCCGCCCAGCCTTCGCGCCGCTATCACTGCCTTTCCGTTTCACTTGTCCTGTCGCGCGCCGCCGTCCTTCCCCGCACCTCTTCGCCCTCGTGCTCATCCTACCGTGCTGTCCCTGCTGCCCTTACCCACTCCTCTCACCGTGCTGCCACTACTGCCGTCCCATCCAGCCTCCGCGGCACCACTGCCGTTCCTCCCTGTTCCTCCTTGTGTGCTGTCGTGCCTCCCCGCCTTTCCTACCGTCCCGCCACTGCCGTCGCCCCCTGGTCACATTGCTCGTTCTGCCACTGTTCGCGCATCTTGCACGTGCTGATCGCGGCGTGGTAGCAGATGGGCTCCAACGTCGCTCCCAACATCTTGCTGAGCAGCGCCGCGCCTGGCTGCCAGGGTCGCAGCCCGTCCTTCTCGCGCTCGCTGGTCTGGGTGTTGTAGCAGATGGCGTCGGGTTTCACGGTTGGTCTCACATCGCCAAGCTTGTTGCCACTATTTTCCCTCATCACACGCGCAGACTCAAGGAGTGTAGCTGGCGACATTGGGCGCGACATTCGCATCCCATGTTTCGCTGAACACCACAACAGCATCTCTGATATTTCTCCTCCACCTCGTCCCCGTCGCCCTCCTCCATGCCACTCCCACAGCCCCCGCCGCCCTCCACGTCCATGCCGCCGTCGTGTTCCTCCTTCTCTCCACCAGCCCCACGCCCAGGTCCACCACGGTCATGAGGAAACGGGTGCAATGCGCAATTTAAGGATGCAGGAGGGGCCGACGGCAAGAATATTAGGTGGTCCGGGAGAGGCTCGCTCGGGATAGGACGACCGACTCCACGCACATTCCGCAATACTCGACGCAGGCCTCCAGGGCTTCTACAGATAGCGCCCCAGCCAGCGTCCCGCGGACGACCCGCCCCTGCGCCGCGCTGGGAAACGCTTGCCGCCACTCTCGGGTGCCAGCACACATCGCGAGAACGTGTTTCAGCGATGCTGCCACGCACCCGCAAAGCGGGCAGGGCTCCACGCTCTCCAAGAGGTCCTCGTGCTGCCACAGGCAGAGGGACAATTGCTGGAGGAAAGAACAAAACACGCCACGTCCCCCTCCTCTTCCTCCTCCTCCTCCTCCTCCTCCTCTTCCTCCTCTTCCTCCTCTTCACGCACGCTTCCGCTCGAGCTCGTCGCCTCGCCGCTAGTCGATGCTAGGAGTTCCGATGCGATTGGCTGGTCTTGTTCTGTCTCCCACCGCCCCCCTTCTGAGGGCATGTTCGTGTCGTGTAGACGCGGCGTCGACCCCGGCGCAGTCGTTCAAGGCTGGACGGCGCCAGTGGCCCGGAATCGGGCGATATCGAACGACCCGCACTGTCAGAAATCCCGAATCGTCCACGGCTGAACGGTTCGCGTGGTGCCAGGAAGCCAACGCGCAGAAGTCGTCGCGTCACAAACCGCACCATTATTGGGGAAGCGAGGTCCGCGAGCATTTTTTGGGGTCGGCTTTGGGCCCCCCCTGGCGGCGCCTCTGGCGCCACCCCTGGGCATATCCTGCGGCTGCTGGTATGGCAGGGCGGCGTTCGTGGAGGCAGCCGTGCCCCGCCCGTCCTTATTGTTCGGCCACACGTAAGAGTGAGCCTTCACCGGAGTGGCCTTTGGTGCGGGCCCATCGGGGGCCTTCCGATCGCTGAGCGCGATGCGATGGCAGCTGAAGGCGCGCTTGGACTTGGCCTCCTTGCGCCCCCATGGTCCGCGCACCAAAAGTCACTCTTGTTACCCATGGTCATTCTTGTGTGTAGTCGATTTATCTCTGTCTCTCCCTTTCCCCTTGCCCAGATCGGGAACAACCAACCGCATCAACCTAAACTTTCGGAGGTCCGCGCGGATTTTTTGGGACCGCACTGGCACCCCCTGGGGGCGCTTCGGGCGCCGCCCCTGGCGCGCCGCTCCCCCGCGCCAGGCTTGGGAAGAGAGCGCACCTCCGACCCCACCTTGCCCTCCTCCCCCCCTGGGGCCGGCCTCAGGAGCTTCGTCGCCCCACCCTGAGGGCTCGCACTTTGGGAGTGGACTCTCGAGCAGACACTTTGGGGCTTGGGAGCGGCTTTCATAATGGGAGGGCTCGACTCTTGGGAGAGGACCCTTCCCGAGCTCCTGGTCGGGAAGCCTCTTCGTGCGCCAGGCAGGAGACCCCTCGTTCCTACAATTCGGCGCTCCTCATGGTACAGCACGACGACTGCATGCCCGGGCCCGCCCTGGCCCCTCCCTTCTGGGGAGGGGGGCAGGTGGACGTTCAAGTAGGGGTTCGACTGTAGATCGATGTAGCGAAAAGAATTCGGTCTTCCGTCGAATCTACGAGATTCTACCCGCAGATCTACGGATCATTATACGCTGGTTGCTTTTTTCGTAGTTCCGGGAAACAAATCAATGTTTGGGTACATCGATTTTGTAATCGATCCCCTACTCGAGACGTGAGGGTGCTCTTCTGCTCCCCTGCGTGCGAGGGGGGTGTCCAGCGCCGACCCCAGAAATCCGCGCTGACCTCCATGCCTGTGCTGGTTCGTCTCCCTCTGGAGACCCAGGCGTCCAGCGTCTCGTTGTCTTCGACGCGCGGCTCCCTGGACATCTCGACCCCTTTCCCCATATCTGGTTTCTCGGCCCGAGTCGTTCATTGACGCCATGGTCCCCTGGTCCCCGGAAACAGCTTACAGAGGCGGAACATTTCGAACCTTGCAGAGAACAGCAAAACAGCACGCGAAAGCACGGCCGCCGCGAGTTTTCTGCGTCGCTCTGGCCTGGAAGGGAGGATTCGGTGGCGCATGCAGAGGGGGCGGGCCTTCTCAGAGGGCATGGAAGGCCTCCGTCCTTCTGAGACGTCTTCTAAGCTTTCTCCGGAAAGAGAGAGAGAGAGAGAGAGAGACGGCTTCTCAGAAGGCCGGATGCATGGCTGTGAGAACCCACGCTGCCCTCTGACACAGCCTGCCACCTCTCACTTTCCCCCCCGGGCGCGCCGCCGAGGAAAGGAGCATTGTGCCAGATCTCCGCCGATGTGGTTTTTGAATCGGGGCGATGTCCCCCGATTTCGCCTCTGGGCCCGCCCTCGGGAAGGTGTCGGGCATGTTGGGGCTGCATGCGCTGCCGAGGGATCAAAGCACTGGCATGGGCCGGCGGTGGTGCGCACGGCGCCAGGCCGCGCGGCGGGGCCAGCACGTTGTCGTGACCTGCGGCGGCCGGTCCGGCAGGGCGGCGTTTGTGGAGGCGGCTGTGCCCCCCCCCTGCCCTTTCCCCGCTGCCTCTCCCTCCCCTGGCTCTAGGCCTCGCAGATGGGGTCCGACGGGCCGTTCACTGAATGCAAACGGTCCTGTTTAGAGGCCAGGGGATTGTAGAGCATGCGGTCTGTTACACGAGACTCGTGCAGACTTTCATGCCTGATGGTCTCCTCATCCACTTCGTCCTCCTTCTCATTCTCCTCCTCATCCTCTCCATCAGCACTGTTACGCAGATGATTGTTTTGTGGACGATACATTCAAGATCTGAGGATGTTTTGGAGAACTGCCAATCGATAGAAAATATACCCTCCCAGGCATGGCCTTCGAAAGTCCAGCCCACTGCCAGCAGGCGTGGGCTTGGAATTTCGCTGACCATTCTCGGGAGGAGCATTGTGTCTGGCTTGTCAGATTTCATGAAGGTATCTTGGTGGTGAGGGTGTGCGAAAATGAAGCAGCGAGATGATGGAGCATGGGCAAGATGAGGTAACATAGGCGGGGACGCCACCAGACAATGACATGTCGCGTTTTTTCCATGCCGGAATGCTCGACACCTGTGCGGCCAGCGCTCCGCGTTGCTGCGACGCCTCGGGCAATTCAAAGCTCCCGCGCTATCAGTGTAAGAAGCGGTCACGGCCTAGCTCGCCCGCCAGCCTCTCCGCTTCCTCCCTGCACCTCTTAGTCCGAACACCAAACGCGCGCAGGCGCATCATCAGCAGGTTGTCTACCGTTGTCGTTCTCGAGAGCATCGCGAAAAGATGCAGCCAGCCGTCCGCCCCCCCAGCCGCCCTCGAACGCGGCGTCAATTTCGCACTTCGCAGCCCCCCCCAGGGATGGCGAGGTCTTCTTCACGCCTGCATGGGACTTAGCGCGTTGGCTTCCCCAGCTACCGTCAAAGGAAGCAACCATTTCGCACTTCGCAGCCCCTCCCCACAGGGATGGCGCCGTCTTTGTGGTGTCTGCCTGGAACCCACTGCGCTGGCTTCCCCAGCATCCTTCGAAAGTGGCGACGGTCTGGCACCCCGCAGCCTCCCAGATATACCGAGGTCGTTGTTTTGGATCTGCGTGGGACCCCGCTGTGCTGGCCCCCCCTGGAGCTTTCGAAAATGGCGACACCTTCGCATTTCGCAACCGTCCAGGGATGGCGAGGTGTTCTGTTTTAGTTGCGTGGGCCCCCCACTGCGTTGGCTTCCCCAGCAGCCCTCGATAGTGGCGACAGTCATTCCGCAGCACCCAGATATGGCGAGGTATTTGTTCATCTGCGTGGGAACCCATTGTGTTGGCTCCTCCAGCAGCCCTCGAAAGTGGTCACAGCCCCCCCCCCAGATATGGCGAGTTTTTTTCTTTGTGTTGTCTCCCCCAGCAGCCCTCGAAAGTGGTGACAATTTCACACTTCGCAGCCCCCGAGGTATGGCAAGGCCATCTTGGGATCTGCGTGGGACACTGCTGTGCTGCCCCCCCAGCAGCCCTCGAGAAAGTGTTGCATTTCGCGGTCCCCCAGGGATGACATTCCCCAGTCAGAGCTTGCCTCTGTAGGGGTCCTAGCGGATTCATATGGTTAGGTTAGGTTTGCCGCCGATTTTCGTTGCACGCCCGGGGGCCCAGGGGTGCCCGGGTGCCCGGGCGTGCCCGGGCGTGCCCGGGCGTGCCCGGGGGTGCCCGGGTGCCCGGGGTGCCCTATAGCCCTATAGCCCTATAGCCCTACAACTCTATAGCTCTATAGCCCTATAGCTCAATAGCCATGTAGCCCTATAGCCATATAATATCGCCCCCTAGCCCTATAGCCCTGATTGGGGTTTTCTCTGGTATCATGTTTTTTTCATATCTACGTGGGGCACCAGCGTATGAAAATGGCGACAGTTCCTCGCTACCCAGCCCCCAAGGGAAAGCACGACGGCAAGGCAGGCGACAAACCAGCCAGGCAGGGCAGCGAGGCAGCAGGCATGCAAGCAGGCAGGTGCAGGCAGGTGAGAGGGGGCCAGAGGGTGGACGGAGAACAACGGAGGACTGGCGACCCCACTGCTCTTATTCAAGACGGGGGCCCAGCCAAGGGAGGGTTGAGAAAACACATGAACATCAGCAACGTCTTTTCTTAAGGGGGAAGGGGCGGATGGGAGGAGGAATATCCACACGCGAGCACCACGCACGCACACGAACAGAAAGCAGATATCATAATGAGAAGGAAAAGCGATTCGTAATAACGATGATAAGAATAAGAATGCGAGTACTCATGCTATCAAGCTAAGTAGGGTACATAAAGGGTCAACACATCGCATTTCCACAATCCCCTGCCTTTCTCTTTTTACCCCCGGAATCGAACATTCCGCAGGGGAGGAGAGTCTGCAACTGAGATGGGGTCCGTCGATTCATGTGCTGTCTGGGCTTCATGCGCTTCGGTGTGCAAATGGCCTGATGGCTTGGGTAGCTCCCACGGAGCGCCTGATTTCTTTCTCGGCAGTGGTAGGCTTCTCGCAGTGTTTCACGTATCCGTCCTTCGCTGGTCCCATGGGGACTTTTGGGCCAAAGGTCCCCGAAATAGTTTGCCCAGCTCCTGACAGACGAGGCGCTCGGAACCCGCCCGCCCATCCTTGTGTGCTCACGTGATTTGAATCGCCACGGCGGCGTGCCCGTCCTCCTGTGGAGTGTGGAGTCGGTGAGGGGGGGCGTCTCGAACGGGTTCTCGCCCTGTCCGAGTGGATGGGGTCGGAAGACCTCGCCGAATCGCTGGTGCATCGCCGATGCGTTTCGATGTGGTGCCTGATTTTCTCCACGCCGGCATCGCCGATGCTTCGCTGAGGTCGTCCGGGTCGCCGATACATCGCTGATGCATTGGCGATCGGGCGCCATCTTCAAATCCCACCTCATCCAGTCGGGTCTCTCCTTCTAGTTGCTCATATCGAAGAACAAACGTCATAGACAGACAACTGCTGCTGAGGTTGGCGCGGCGCTCTTGAGTGCACCTCCAGCGGCGACGGGTGGCGCCTCCTTGGCGCTGAAGCCTCTTGGCGGCACCTCTGGCGCGCGAGGGGCTTGTTATCCAGGAAAAGGTTCGGCTACCCGGAAATAGGATTGTTCTCTAACTGGGCTGCTGGATCCTCATAAGGGGGTTTTCTGAGGATTCTGGGCACAGGCTTGTTCTCCCCAGCGAGACCCGATCAAGGATCCTCAGGTTTCGGTCGAATCTTATTTTCGCAAACCAAAATGCGCTCCCTTGAAGGCGCCGCAGTCGATGTCGCATCACTATTGCCTCGCTGCTTTGGTATATTCGTAACAGCAGCAGCAGCAGCAGTAGTAGTAGTGGTAGTAGTAGTAGTAGTAGTCGTCGTCGTAGTAGTAGTAGTAGTAGTAGTAGCAGTAGCAGTAGTAGTAGTAGTAGTAGTAGTAGTAGTAGTAGTAGTAGGTAGTAGGTAG